ATTTATGACTCATGTAGACCTTTTCAGAAAAAGCCCCTCCCCCCCCCCCCCCCCCACCCGCTTCCTCTTCCTTCTTCATTGCTCTTCTGATGAAGAGTACATCTGAAGTAGAAAAATTTTGAAATTGCTCAGTCAATTTTCAAGAAAGGAGCCCTTTATTCCTTTTATCAGTGCCAATTTACTAAAGCTCAACGGCCATGAATGCAAAGAAAATGTCCATATTCGAAGTAGATAGATGTGCTTCCATGAGATCCCTCTCCTAAAATTTTTCAAGCCAGCAGTTTGGTGACGAGTACACAGGTGCACCAATGCCTGCAAGAGTCCTGATTGAAATACGGATAGGTACAGGTATGATTACAGCAGCATTGAGGAAACAGTAGAAAAAGAGATAGAAGAGAAGAGGAACAGGAGCGAAAACCGTAGGGAAGACAAAAGCGACGAGCTACGGTGAAATCGCACGTGAGCTAATGCAGTGTGAATTATGACAAAATTGCACCACGAGTTTTCGAGCGCCGTTGATTGCGGCAAAGATGCGTTTGCTGGTTCATAATCGCAAGTGCACGCTCTTAAAGGCAGTGGCGCGGGAAAATCGCGAATGCGGTATTTCCACAAGCACATGGCCTTCTGGACCAGCTGAGAAAGATTCCGTGCTTGAAAAGTCAAAAGCTTTTTTGGCGTTTTCCGACCTTGTAGATTGCTGGAGAGGCGTGGCGAGGGATTCCTGTCAACCGTATCGTATTGATTGCCTAGGCTGATCAGCCAATTGCCGCCAAACTGGGTGAAGTTACAGTATCCTGCAGTCACTTGCTGATTATGGCGGAATCTCTCGCCCCGTCTCTCCAGCTCTGCAAGGCCGGTAAGCTCCAAGAAAACCCTTTTTTGACATTTCAAGCACAGTACCTGACTCAGCTGGTCCAAAAGGCCATGTAATTGTGAGAAGCCCCCAGAGCCACTGCCTTGAAAATTCTGCGAACATGCTGGCAGGTCGAAGTGTCGCGAAAACGCTACGATTTAGCATCATTTCCTCAGCGTTTTATGGAAAGTGCTGCGGAAGTGTCGGTTTTCAATTGCTCTGACGTCAGTTTCCTGCGAAAGCCCCGCATTTCGAGCCAGCAGATGATAAAGGTAATAATGATATTGGTCACCATTTCCTATTCTCTGCAACACTTTCCTTTCCCAGTCCTACTTCTAGATGCTACCTGCATGCCACCACGACGTGATCAGCATTTTGCATTGTCAATCTGTATTATCTCTCGCTCGATCCTGACATTTGCATAGCATTGCAACTTTGTTACTCTACTTGTTTAATTGTATGATCTATACATATAGAACTCAAAGTCTGTGAGGATGTTCGTTAGGTTGTTAGTTTGTTATAGAAACGCCACCCGTTGAACCATTTGAGCTGAAACTTCGCACACGTATGTTTTCGACCCTGTTGGTTTAGGACTACTTTTTGGGGCGATTCGTTGGTCCCTCCTATCGATTTATTGGTATGCTAACCGTTATGAAAGTGAATTTTACCAACCAAGCAAGTCATTTACATTCAGAAAAACAAAGTAGGTCTCATTTTTGTTTTCTGCCGAGGAAGCTTGGTTAAAAGAAGCTTACTGAAGTGAGTTTTGTACATGTGGTGGTGATGTGTGCACAATTATTTGATGTACTCAATTGGTCAGAGCAAAGTAAAGGTGAAATCTATGTTGTGTACTGCTAAAAACAATAGGAACTGACCAGGAAATTCAGTTGGAATTGAAAAAGAGAAACGAAAATTCGTGCTTCTGAAGGGCGACGTAAATGTAGTCCAAACACTAATTTAGTTCTTTAGATTGAAATAAGCCTTTACTAGATAACAGATTGAGTTTGCTCATTTTGTGCAGTTCTCGATACGTCATCTCCAACAGCGAACAGGAAGACCGACATATTCAATCACTTGTGGGAACCAAAAAAAGATTGAGTTCTCTCGACATACTCTTCAGTAGGCCGTGCTTCAAAAATGAACTGTTTTTGACGTGAGAGAGATGACCGCTGCATGTTGAGAGCGTTCCAGAATGAAACCAGCTCTTCTATCACAGAGTTCCGAAATGCCTTCGAAAAGAACGTGTATCGTGAAAGTTAATCGGAAAGAAATTTAACTTCAGTCAGAGCAACTAAAGGAAGCATGCACTTTACTAAAGTTTGCTAAGTGTGAAAAAATGAGTTGATCATTTTGTTGTTGTTTGTGTTTTGTTAACATTGGTGCAACTCTTCAAAGAATCACGTTTCTGACGCATAGTAAAATTATACATATATGCTATTTTAGCAGTTTTATGATGACATTATTAACTGACCTTTTTTGTTTCTGAACCTAAAACAAAAGTCTGTACAAGCATTTGAGCCGAGCGGAGCCGGGTATGCCTGCTAGTTATTACCTAAGCGCATCCTTTGTAGGTGAAATAGATGAATCTTATGAATAGCGCACAGGACTTGAAGACATTTCCATTGTCATCTCATGATTCGCCGACTTCAAGCAATACCATCAGTGCTCACAACTCAGGGCTCGGCACGAGCTGGCACCAGGGAAATCCTGAAACGAAGTCCCCTTTGATCGTAAAAGTTTCCTACGAAGTCCCCTTTGACGTGTTTTGCATTTGCTTAGGGCGCGCTCTGTGATTGGAGCAGATTTTTCGAGTGCGGAGCAGACCGAGAAATTTTCAGATGGCTATAAAACGCCTAGAACAAAACATTATGAAATTGTTTTTGCTCTGTATGTAAACGTTTACAGTGCAGATACATGGCACCCAGCTGGCACGGTGCCAGCTAGTTCAGAAAAAAGTTCAGCACAGCTTTCATTTACATAAGTTTTCATAAATTTTTGGGCCATGATTCAAGTCCCCCAACGCGCATGCACACATCAAATTTGGTAATATCATATGATTTCCTTTTGATTGTAAAAAAGGCTTTTGTTTGTCCCAGGGGCACGCTGCTGGCGCTGCGGCATCTAACCCGCAAAAACGATATCCCCTTTGCTTTCCACCCCAAAAACGATATTCAGCTTGACCCGGTGCCAGCCGTGCCGAGCCCTGTCACAATGAGTCCAGCATTTCTAAAGATTGTTATCTACGTAGTCTGCTGTACACTGATGAGGAGTTCAAAATTCCTCCTTTGCTCTTCACCAAGATCGGATAAGGATCAAAAATCCGTCACTGATGATGAGAAGTGAAGCGCACTTTAATTAAGAGTTAGAGCAGCTGGCGCTTAGAACGAAAATAAACCATCAACGTTGAGGATTAGCTCATTGTCCATTTCTAATCGGCTTCAGCAATTGATTCGAAATATTTTTACAAAAGACTTTATTTGAGGTCGGTTCTCTTTCAGTGTCCAGGAATTATCAATGTCTCAGTGTTCTTCCCATAGATACCAGCCAGTGGCGGTAGAATTCTTCTGGAGGGAGGAAGGGGGGTGGAGGCGTCAGAAGTATTTTGAGTGAAGGTGCGCGGCGTTAACCATGCACTTCGAGAATTCTCGCCTTTTTTTCAAGATCTTTGCGGACCCATAGCAGGAATTTTAGGAGGGCGTGACGGCACCAAACGTACGCATGAAGTGTTTTTACACTTCGACTTTTTAAAGAGTCAAAAAATTGTCTTAGTTATTCGTAGGTGAAAATAACACTCGCGAAAATTATAATCACTTTCAAAAATCCGTAACCCTCGGTTCGCCACTGAGCGGTATCCATGGTCATTTCCACAAATGAACGCACCTCTACACATTGCGCATGCTAGTTGTGCGGGTGAGCTTATTGGCATACATTGTTCTTCCTGCTGGTTGAAGTCTAAGGCCCTGGGCATATCTTGCGCTTCATCTTTGAGCCATTCGATAATGCCCCAGATTTTTACAATTTTTCTCAACTGCTTTATAAACAAAGCATAGGACATTTCGTCATTTTAGTCATTTTACTAAGACTTTTGTTTGTGTTTAGCATTTAATTTACCAAATGTACAAATTATTCTTGTTATAGGACATTTCGTCATTTTACTAAGACTTAATATGTTGTGCTCTAAAAGAAAGTGATGAATATAAAGACATCTGGCGAATTGATAGCATAGCGACTGGAATCGCGCGAGGTATGTCCAAGGCCAAGGCATATGCGGACTTGAGAGATTCGACCACAGTCAAATTGTGCAAATCAGCCTTTAAGATGTACTCAAAATAATATTCATGCCCCATTTGACATTCTCTACGTGCCAGCAAATAAAATGGAACTTTGCCTCATTGCCAAAAATCATTGAGCAGCCTTCACCTCTAAACTGTTTCAAGGGCCATTAGCTCGCACAACGTGTCTAATTTGGCACGAACAATGCTGCTAGTTATCGACGCCTACCCACTTTTCTTTATTCCTATGACAACGGTGAAACCTTGCGCAAGTCTTGCTCCCCATCTGGCGACTATCGCGTGGAAGCAGGGGCGTCGTTTACCACGTTGGAGTGGAATGGACATTCCATCTTTATGCGAACGGCATAGTTTACTACTGCTTTCTGCTTTTGGTCCAAAGCTTTTCGCAGTTCTGTCATTGGTCCTGTGCATTCCTGTCATGAAACGTTAGTGGCAAAATCACACAATGTGCTACTGATAGTGTACTACCGTACCGAAACGAAATGACGAATTGAAGAAGCTTCAATGTTAAGACACCTATCTTGTCGATTTGTGAGTGCACTATAAAAGCATTGGAAACAAAATTTTGCATGTTCTAGCCTCGGATAATATTCCATTAATCTAAAAATAAACAGATTTGCTTATTGACTCCGCTTCTGCTCGTTTGACCGACATTCTATAAGCAAGAACTCAGTCTCTTCACACCCTCGCAATTTTCTGGTCGACTTCTTCCGTTAAGTCACGGAAATTTTCGCCAGCACGCAAAGATATTTCTGCTGTTATTCGTTCGTATGCTCTATGATGGACAGCAGCGTCGCGTTACCATGACATTGCATTGATTCACTCATAAACAACGTTGCATGCAAATTTTCCTAGGAACGGCATCAACTTAGCTCCTTCTAATTGTGGAAATCCCGATTAATCTGGGAATAGTCCGCGCTATCTAGGAAAATGCGTGAAATCGTACACATCCAGGCTGGCCAATGTGGAAATCAGATTGGCGCCAAGGTGAGCCAAAATATTGTCCACTTTTCAAACGAGTACCTCTTCTTTTTAGTTCTGGGAGGTCATCTCTGACGAACACGGAATTGAGCCGACTGGTATTTACAACGGTGATTCCGACTTACAGCTGGAAAGGATCAATGTGTATTATAACGAAGCGAGCGGTATGTTTCACTTAATTCTAGGCTTCATTTTTTTGGAATTATTCAGGCGGAAAATACGTCCCACGAGCATGCCTCGTCGATTTGGAGCCGGGAACTATGGACTCAGTTCGTGCAGGACCATTTGGGCAGCTTTTTCGTCCGGACAACTTCGTTTTCGGTATGTGTAGGGGCAAGCGATAACTTAGCTTCAGGTGAATACATTCAGCTTTGAGGTCAATCTGGTGCTGGAAATAATTGGGCAAAAGGCCACTACACGGAAGGTGCTGAATTGGTGGACAACGTTCTGGATGTTGTGAGAAAGGAGGCTGAAAGTTGCGATTGCTTACAGGTTCTTCCCTTCTCTAACTCTATGAAACAGGATTCTCTTGTTGATGTCGGATTATCGGAAGGATTTTGCAATGCTTGATTTGCTTTTATGCATACTCATGCATAGCTAATCAGCTCATTTGTGACTAATCTGGTTTTCTGTTCGAAGACCACTATAAATTACTTTATTGAGAAGTGAAAACCCATTCCATTGAAAAAAATGAAAGAAATATTCGAGAAATGTTCACTGGATGAACGAGAAGAGAACACTTCCATAAATTGTTAGCTGTTTTTTGTGATTAGTAGGCATTGCGATTTCAGCTCGTCTTACACTCTAAATGCTGCAAAACTTTACTTGAAGATCCTGAAATTGTCGAAAATCAGAAGAATATTCTAGCATTCTCACTGCTGAGCCTTTTGAGCTTTTGTTATCTACAACTTCCAGGGATTCCAAATGACACACTCTCTCGGTGGAGGCACAGGATCTGGAATGGGAACTCTGCTTATTTCTAAAATTCGTGAGGAATACCCTGATCGGATAATGAACACATTTTCTGTGGTACCAAGCCCAAAAGTTTCCGATACGGTAAGTTGTGCATGTGTTCACCGCCGTACCACAGCCTTCAATTACTGCATTCTCTTCTGCTAAAAACACCTATTTTGCCCGACAATTAGCTCAAACCCCAAATTTCATTTTTGCTAGTTATGAAGAACGACGAGCGATATTTGCATTTCTAAATTGTTAGTGTTTTGTAGAACAAGGTAAAATTTCTAAGTTTCATCTCAGAAGAACTCTCTCGTTTCATCACACAAACTTTTTCAAGCAATTCCTCCATATCTTTTTTCATAAGATCTCCACAATCAGCGCTGTACCAAGTGATTGTAGTGGCTATTATTTTTTGTCAATTAAGTCAATTTTCTTTCTGGGGAAAGGACAAAATTTCTAAACAACATCAACCTTAAATCTAAGCGTTTCATTGGCAAATAGAGTCTGGGTGATCGAAGAGTGGGAAAGACGCAAGACTTTTGAGCTCATTATGTTAGGAAATTGCGCTAGTGATTTCTTTTCACTCGTAATAAATATGATATTTTTCTTCGATTTACATTAATTAAATATGATAACTGTTAAATTCAGACTAGCTTTATTGAAGAAATTACTCTTGGGCGCGTAGCTGCCGCAACTCCACTTCGCTAAAAATAGCGAGGTCATAGGGCGGCAAAAAATTCTGAAAGCCTCCCGAGAATGGGCCACAAAATTTTTGAAATTTATTTGCATAGGTTATAAAAATGTGCAAGTGATTTGTTCATTCTTGCAAATGAATGAAATATTTTTAAAAATTTTTTCAAAATCCAATTCAGAATTGTAAAAAAAATTTTTTCGGGCCTGAGAAGCGCCTCAAAAATTTTTTTCGGAGTGCTTAGCTAACGCCACGCATCTTATTAAATTTTTGCCGCCCCCCCCCCCCCGAAATCCTGGGATTGCCACTGCTATATACCACGGTAAATTTCTGAAGACCAATACGCAAGTCTTGCGAACGCATTTAAAGTAAATTCATCGTACAGAAGCACATTTTTTGTCACGTTTAATGTCCCAATTCAAGTAGATTTGCTTTTGAAGGCGAAGTTGTAAGTCTGACTGATATCCAGTTAGAAACGTTTCAACTTCGCAGTCAAAAGAAAGTCAGAAACCACCGGCGAGTTTTCGTCTGTCTAAGTCCTCGGACGCGTGGTATCGGAACTAAAAGACTTTTTCTTCCCTAAAAAAACTTAGTAACGTTTTGGTCTCGCGTCATCGACCTTCTGACAAAAAATGTCTCAAAGGATCTAGTCAAGGTTGTGCACCGATAAAGCTATGTTCAGGTTGTCGAGCCGTACAATGCTACACTATCTGTTCATCAGCTGGTTGAGAACACTGACGAGACTTTTTGTATAGATAACGAGGTATCATACTTCCGATAAAGGGAGAATCTTGCACTGTGAAAGCTGTACAGGCCCTCTACGACATCTGCTTCCGCACTCTCAAGTTGACAACACCCACTTATGGAGATTTGAATCATCTGGTGTCAATGACAATGAGTGGTGTAACTACATGCCTGCGATTCCCTGGTCAGGTACGGCTTTGACGAATACTCGTCTCAGGGGCAAAGGGCACAGTGCATCTGAAAGATAATTTCAGCTAAATGCGGATTTACGCAAATTAGCAGTGAATATGGTGCCTTTTCCACGCCTGCATTTCTTCATGCCTGGTTTTGCGCCACTGACTTCTCGCGGTTCACAACAGTACAGGTGAGATTTGTCTCTTCTAGCAAAAAATCGACAAAGTTTGTCTCTTCTGTTCGCGTGAGATCGAACATGAGACAGTACAATGCATATGGGGTACCCTTTGATTCAACTGGATTGGTGGCTGGAAGGCGGGGCCTTGTGACCTGATTAAGGCCGCTCGCGCCCGCGACGCAGTCCGCGTCTCTCTCGCGCGCGTGCTCTCTGATCACTCTCTAGCCTCAATTAGGTCACGAAGACCCGCCTTCCAGCGGCCAATCCAGATTGCAAAGGAAAGAAAGCAGAAAAGAGATATGTTCTAGAACATAGCATGTAAGATTAACATCTTTTCTGCTTCCGATTCATGTTTGATTGCTGTGGTGGATTGGAGTTGTTTTCTGAGATAGGCAAAAACTGTTTAGGCTTTTGTGCATGGTAAATGCTGAGAAAGCCTAGTCCAACGAAATAATATCTATCTCCGTACTTAGAAAAATTTTGCAGATCGCTGACTGTACCAGAGCTGACGCAACAAATGTTTGATGCCAAAAACATGATGGCAGCCTGTGATCCACGGCATGGTCGTTATCTTACAGTGGCAGCGATGTTCAGAGGCCGCATGAGCATGAAGGTACTGCGTACTCAGAAACTGCGGTTTCCGTATCCTGTAACTGAAAATCTTCCCCCATTTCTTGTGTCAAACGCTCATTAGGTTTTCCGCAATTGGAATTTTTGCTCACGCCATTTTCTTCGTGGGGAGCTCTCAACAGGTTCCTTCGTTTTTTTTATGGCTTACCACAACCAGTAATACTCCCAGTAATAGCTGTAATCAGATCTTATGCAACTCTTTTGTAGAACGGACCACCGTAATATTGATCACAGATTGGTGCCAAATTGTTCTCCTTATATAATGTAGGGAAAATCAGAATAGATTAGTTCGAAACTGTTTCCGTGATCTCCGTCACATAGGTCAGCGTTTGAAGTGAGGACTGACTCGACTAAGCTGAGATCCAATTATTTTATGACCAGGTGTTTTCTCTATTATTGCACGGGTGAACCTTCACACCTCAAAATATGTCTGTTCCGGTTGATTAGCTGCAAAGAGGCGAAGGGAAACGCGTGGAACGCGAATATCCGTTGCTGCTAATCCATGAATGTATTATTCGTGAATGTTCACTCATTTTTTCATAGATCGTGATTTTAATGATAAAAGGAGAGGCAAAAACCACATGCTCCTCAAGGTGCAAGAGTGGCAGAGAATAAGGAACAAGTTGAAATTGGTAGTCTCGAAATATTCTAAGGAATGCATTTGCATTTTTGCGGTTTGCGTGATCATTTTTTTATTATACATATATTCAAAAACCTACTCTTCCAATCATTTATGCGAGATTTTCACCAAAACAGTCCCAAGTTTCTAATTTTTCTCATTGTTGAATTTACTCTAAGTGATTGAAGAGCATTTGCCATAATGCTTGAAAGCTAGTAACGAAGTCATAAAAATGAAAGTTTTTTCGCATCAGAAGTTTCAGTAGGTTTGATCTGTCGCAACTCGCCAGCTAATATTTGGATTTCCAGAACTGCACTCCTTCCCAATATCTTTGATGTTGGTTCAAACGTGCATTAGTTAGTGGTTGGGATATAATCAGGACTGTAAGGCTTCGAATACCACTTGTTGAAAACCACAAAGATACTGCCACGCGGGACTTCGTATACGCATGAGCAACCTCAAACTTTGATAATCAAACTTTATCAGAGAAACAAATAACAACAACAAACACGGATAGAACAAATAACAAATAATGTTACTAAATGATAAACTACAAATAGGAATGATATGATTGGAAGAAGGCACAAATATCTAATATACAAAGAAACGTAAGCGCAATTCAAAAATCTGTAAATAGCGTGGCGGTCCGCGCGCGGATGCAATCTAGCACCTTTAATTGCTGGTTCACTAGTATGAGTGAAATAATGTTAAAGCAAATGAGCGAGAGTCGTACATGTGAATAACTCTGAGTGTGCACTGTCAGCTACTTATATGCCTACGATCACATCATCAAGCCACAGCTGCGCGCGACATTCTACTGATAGCTAAAAAAACCATAGGCAATTCACATCTGATGCTAACATCTGCAAATTCCTCCAGTAGTAAAAACGATGCGAGCTACTGAAATCATCGATGCTTTGCAGCTGGCAAAGTATTACTAAACTACATGGATGCAAATAGCCAACGCATTTTGGGGCAGAGAAAAATAATACGAATTGCGAAGTTCATATAAAACGCTTAGAATTCTAATGCGAAAAATTGAAAGTCGTATATCTAAGTACTGATTTGGTAGTGTGCGCGGTAGAATTTTCGGAAGATAAGAGTGATGAACTGAAAACAAACTGAAGCATAAGCTGCTACTTTGCTCTACAAAAACGCATATGATATAAAATCATACGAAGTGGTCGATAATGAGCATAATTTTATTTTGTGTTGGACAATGAAGTTATCGAGCAAGATGGCAAAAATATCGAACAGGCTTCGAAAATATGTAAAGTTGGCAAAAGGAGAAATCATTTTGTGATCGTGGTCAAAAAATGAAATTCAGGAAGTCGATGAGCAGATGCTCAACGTGCAAAACAAGAATTCGTCATACTTTGTGGAATGGATTCCCAACAACGTGAAAACGGCCGTTTGCGACATTCCGCCTAGAGGAGTAAAGGTTGATTTCTTCCTATACAAATCGAAACCGCATCTGAGATTCATCTTTTCAAGATGGCCGCCACATTTGTCGGCAATTCTACAGCTATTCAAGAGCTCTTCAAGAGGATTTCCGAGCAATTTACAGGTAATTTTTTATTCATCATGGCTGCGCTTTCCAATCCCCTACATTTAGCAATGTTTCGTCGTAAGGCATTCTTGCATTGGTACACCGGCGAAGGTATGGACGAGATGGAGTTTACCGAAGCTGAATCGAATATGAATGACTTGGTTTCCGAATATCAACAATATCAGGTAGGACAGAACTGGAGTTCCACTCAAACTCTAGCTACTAGGACATTTCATGAAGGACCGTAGTCGCATTCGACACATTTTGCGGCAGCTTTTTCCGCAAAAATGGGGGTAGGGGAGGAGGTAATGCCGAGCCGCCGGACACTGTCGTATATACTTGGGGAAATTTGGAAGTTTTCATCGATTGAATGAATATTGAATCCATTCGAATGAAAAATCTGAAAAAACGAATCTTATGTATAGAACTGAATGTCTGCTTGTCTGTACTATGTCTGTCTGTACGTATGTTCAGAATAGAATTTTTTTATTTCTGAAACGATCCGGACCAAAATTGGCACACATACACCTCGGGGCAGAGCGGGTATCGTAGACTACTTTTCGTTATCGATCAATATCAATTTTATCAGTTTTTTGCAAACATTGAGCTACAGGGCTGGGAGTTGGCACGGGGAGGGGGTAAGAGAGCATGCTGATACGAAAATGTAATGACAGGGCCGGGCGGAGCCAGAATTGCCAGCTAGTATCGAATAAATTCAAACAAAATTTTGAAAAAATGGATATCGATTTGAAATCTGGAATTCTCAAGTGAATGAATTCCGAGTGATTCGAGAAACAGAAATATCGAATGAATGAGTATCGATTATATTCCAATGGGAGTCGAATTTCGAATAGATATTCGAATGATTTAACTACTTCAAGCTATCTAGAATGCTGCCATATCCAGCTAAAGCCGATTCATTCATAATCAGCATCCTCACCCATCTGTGCATTCCCAGCTCCGTACTCACTATTTGAAGTTTTCCAGAAGTCACCAAATCGATAAAGTAGTTTCATTCATAATCACTGCCCTCACTTCTCCTCTCACCCTCTACCAACCCAGCCTCGTAGCTTAAAGTTTCCAAAAAATCGTAAAGGTTAGTTGGTTGGCAACTAGTCTACATCAGCAGAACGTCATGTTTTATCTCCCATTATTGAGCGATCCAAAGAGAAAGCAGCTGATATGCTAGGTTGAACCGAAAGTTCTTTCGCTTTGACATTGAAAAATTCATAACTGCTCCCTATTGAAAGTGTTTGCTGCATCTTCCCGGTTCTTTGAGGGCAAGAGACTTCTGAGATAAAAATTCGAAAACGAGAACAACTGAAACTCCCGATTTTCGATGATAAATCGTTAAAAATCTGAAAAGTTGCAGAAAAATCTGGGAATATGTTTTTTTTAGATTTTTTGAGCTGCTCTTAACAGTGCCAAATTTGCGCTGATCGAACTTTTCTGTGAAAAGTTGTGATTTTTGTGAAAATGCAGAAAAATGCAAATAAGTCATGCTTGCCCATAAAACTCTTCTTCAGCATCGTAGCTTTGCGAGCTTGATGACTCAGCAATTGGCTCTGCACCAAACTCGAATAATTCGAACACGACGAAGAAAAGATTCAAATAGCATTTATTCAAAACCCCCTTTTCATTGATTTAGCTTTGAATTTATTCGACCGAAATTTATCCGAAAACGGAAAACTCTGAGTTTCGAATTTCGAATGCGAATATATTCGAAAGTTTTAGTCATTTTTGCTTCTGTATTATACGCTTTGTCGGAGAGGCGATTTTGATACTAAACGATAAACTGAGGTATCTGTGCTGTTGAAAATGTGTTAGATGGATGACATCATCGCCTTGCCAGCAGTTACAGAAATACTTCCCCTCACTCAACTCTTCTACGTCAAACAAAGCTTTCGTGTTCTTTCAAATATTCAGTCATTCGTGCGATTGCAAAATTGGCATATCTTCTGTCCAGAGGGCTAAAAGCTTATTTCATGTTGCAAGCTCGCTCCATATAAGGAGATAAAATGCCGAAGTCTATACTATGGTGAACTTAGGCGGTTTAGGTGTTCTTGCGTTATCGAAAATAATTGCGCGGAAAAATAGGCATGAAGCGCAAAGTGGAAAATTTGCGCCCAGCGACCATTTACGATATGCGCAAGTTTGCACTCTAATGAATTTTGCTTTGTTCCGCAGGTTCTGCTGGCCAGCAAGGGCATCATATTAGGTTGTCCCGAAAGTTTTGTCGGTTTATTTCATCGCTTACTAAAACTCACAGAATACCAGTCTGTTAACGATCTAGGCACCATTTGATTCAGAATTTCTTCCTCTTTTTAACAGCTATACATACTTGCTTTCTGATCTACCCTGTCTCTGCAATGTGTGTCGCCGAGGCTTTTTGAGCAGCTCAGCAGTAACGCCAAATCTTTCCTGAATTTTAAATTTTTATTCTGATGTTTATAAAGAACGCTGGTAATTTCATGTAGATCAAACCTTTGGCTACATTGTACTTATTTCAGATTACATGGGGCACTTTTATACAGTCCGTAATAATTATTTATTTGAGAAAAACCGCGGCTTTTTGAAAACGTTTAACACGTAAAAGTACCGAAATTCCAAAAAGCTGATTTTTCAAAGCAAATCAAACTTGGATAGGTTGCATAAATAATGTTTAGTAATAAACATGTTTCATTTCGCAAAAACTTCAAAAGTTTTCATGTTCTTGCTGCAGTTGCGTGTTTCATGACTTTGCCAAAAAACGATACCTTCAAGAAACAATTTTTTAGATCTAAAAACAACAGATTGGAAGAATCTAAAAGCATTACCATATAGCTCGAGTATTGCTTTATTTGAGCCATACTTAACCCTTTTCGAAACTTTAAAATAAAATTTTTAAAATTAGCCTAACTTTGAGCAGATAAAATTGACGGTAATTGGGTGGAGAATTTTGGCAATTATCAAAAAAGCATACAACCCTGTGGTTCGCCAATGTATCAGCAAGAAAGAGAAGGAAAAGCTGCATCGAATGCATGTTGAAACTCACTCAGATCTTTATTGTGCATGATTTTACAGTCGTCTGAAGAAACCGACAAAACTTTCGGGACAACCTAATATTAGAAGACAAACTTGATATCCCTTTGTGCTAACGCTAGGCGATGTTCTGCGTTAGAGGTAAGGGACAAGATGGACAAATTTAGAGTAGGGTATAGCTGAGACAGCCACCTGTCCACAATCTGGGCTTGAGGATGCGTACTGTATTCAAGCTTCTCCCAAATTTTTTTCTGACATTTGATTAATTCAAGCTTTTGTTATATCTTGTAGCAGATATTATTCCTTAAGGAAGCCACTGCAGACGACGAAGGCGAGTTCGATGACCAAGAGCACGACGTCGAGGAATGAAACTGGAATAGCAGTATACGCTCTTAAAATTAGTGTAGATCTTGAGCATTCACGTTATTTCTGCCGTAACTTCTACTCAATATATGTTCGGTTTTGCATAAATCGTTCTAGTCCTCATGATTCTGATATATGTGTATACTTGTACAAATAGAATATGTGATGTTTATCAGTAAAGAATCGTGTGTATTTCTGCGAGAACTGAAACTCAAAAACATTAAATAACTCATATGACACAGCAATAATTCTAACAACAAGTCAGTGATGGGCCGAAAATGTTGGTACGAGGCAACAAGACAAATTTTGAAAGACGAACGTACACTAGAAATTTAGTCAACTTATGAGCGCAAAGCATAGTATTTACTTCATGATAATATAAAAAACTAAACATATCAAGAGCTTAGCACAACAAGTGAGCGATATTCACGTCAAAGGCAACAAGTTTTACTATCTTAAAGAAACAGTAAGGGCATAAGAGACTCGCGCCACCCGCCATACTTCACCTCATCCGCTTCATCAGCGCCATACTGCTTTGTAATGTTTCAAGCGGATAAAGTGAAGTATGACATGTGTGGAATGAGGCGCGAATGCGTTCCGTACCAGTCTCACCCGTTAGAATCAGAAAGGCTTGATGTAGGCCTTGCACACTGAGTACTTACAGATCTCCGAATTTCAATGATATGTGCGCGACCCACTTAGCCGACAACTAGTGGAAAGCTAGCTGATTGTCTTCTATCTGACTGACTTCTCGCTACGGAAGAAAAATGGTTTAGGGGATGACGGTGCCAGCGGCAACGCCGACGTACGGGTGAGACCGACGCGGTATCGCACAACAATATAGAGCTGCCATCGCGAACGATTCGGGCGGCTAAGCAAGCGCACGGCGATTCCGAGACGATATCGCTGCCAGATCGGGAAACAGCTGCGCGACTGCTTCGTCGATGTGCGCACAGAAGCCTCGTAGTGAGAAATCTCTGTCGAAGCGAGCACGCTGAAACGAGGATCTTGTTTAGAAGCATCGAGATCGTTAGGATAAGCGGAGTTCCTTGATCTCACAGAACCCCGATAGCAATATATTTACGAAGAACAAGACGCGTGAGAAGCGGATCTGCCAAATGCTTGGAGAAATCTCTTCATCTCTAGTCAAGCCGCTAGATCAACTATTTTTTTTTTGTTAGACTATTGAAGTAGCAAAGTACCGAAAATCCGAAAATTGCCCCGAAAAATTTCGCGTTACTGTAAAATAAGTACAAAATTACTTGTTTTTCGTAGGTCTCGTCGCAATCGAGGGCAGGCCATTCCTGCTTTTTGATGTGATGCACCATTGCCTCGGCCAGCAATTCCCCCGTCGGTTTCAAAATCTGGATCACGTGCTATGTTTGCGGGCTCAACAAAAATAGGGTTGCTCACCTTGCTCCCCGTGACGTCTTCTATCACTGTTTCTGCTGGACCGCCACTATCACAAACGATTACAGGTCGACGTTGATCCAATGCCTGCGTAAAGCAAAAGTCCTATTGAGCTTTTGAAAGTGCGTCTGGTGAGATCACCTCGATGGGAACGATACCAAAATGTTCGTTCGGTGGCGTGTATAGGGCCGAATCGCATTGCCGATAAAGCTCGAATTTTCGGCATTCGGACGGTGAGGGGATAAAGTGGACCACGTCCGTCACGTCAAGATCCTAAAAATTCACTATAAGGCATTTTTCAAGGTTCAATGGAGTCGTACTCTAGTCATCTTTTGCAGCAATTCGTAATATATCCGACTTTCTGGGATGTGTGGCATCACGGAGCCAGCCAATTGCACCAGGAATTTGTACCCGCGCTTTTTCAGCAATGCTGAAGATTGTCACATCACTACATACAACGCTCAAAGACAACACATTATGACTCACAGGCAGCTTCGATGATGATGTCGAGCCTTTTCTCTGGCCAGAATCTGTTCATCGACATGAAAATGTAAACATCGTTCTGCGGACGATCCCGACGGCTCGTCGGTTTTTCAGCCTAAGCAGTAATTCATGGCAATCGCCATTTCAAATTGCAAGGCCGTCATTACCGAAATGACGATGGAGTCGACGTCACATGGGGGATATACGACCCGAATCTTACTTTTTTCTATGCGTGGCATGACACGACTGAACTGAGTGGCTGGAATGAGGTTTTTGTGTGACACTGAATCAGATACATTGGTATTTATAAAAAGAACCTGTAAAGTGGCTATTGACCATGATGACATCTGTATGCTCGAAAAGTTGTTCTTCTATAAGACCAATCAAATTTGAGTACCACCTGTAAGTAAGCACTTTGGATGGCAGGAGATGCCCAACCAAGTCAAAACACCTGTAAAGAAAGAATCTGGAGGGTGTGACGAGCTGTTGGGGAAAATGGCAATAGAACAGGACTTTACACTTTGGATAACGCCACTTGATGAGAGGTACACAACTGTAAAAGGAAGGTATTATTATCGCAATTTTGTACGGATGCGTACCTTGCTGAATGATCAATAACCACTAAATCAGGTTTGATGTTGTTCAGAACGAGGTACCAACCCAAAGCAACGTTTTGGCTCCACCAATCTCCTGGATGCAGCTTCAACCCAACTTCTCGAATATCTTGAAAGTTGCGGTGAGGAAAATGTGTAAGATTTTGGAATACAAAAACATCTCACCTACACCATCAAACTTATGATCTTTCCAATACTCATCTATCATAGTGGTAAGCCAAGTTACCTGAACAGAAAGTTAAGTGGGGAGGGTGAGAGATAAGTTGGAACAGACCTTGTAACCCTTAGACACAAAATGCCGTATTAACGCTACTGTACACCGATCCGATCCCCCATTCCACTGCTCAGGGTGGATAATCACCACGTGCATCTACAAAAATTGTTTTAGTTGGTACATCCTGAATTTCAGGTATACGAAACAAGATCGCAAAAGGTTTCATGAGTCTCGGTTATTCTAATCACATCTTGCGCAGAGCCGCCGCTGAACTCTGCCCTTACGATTGCGGTGATTAGCGGTCACTGAAATGTGCCACTAGGTGCGCATTAAAGTAACTTATTGGGGCCAGGGATGGAAAGAGCGGCTCGAGTGCAGATCGCAATCGCAAAGACGATACGCGCCGCGAATAATTTGGAACATAGGTAGATGCAAGGCGCGATACCTCACGAAATCTGGTCAAACAAGAAAGATTCTTTTGTTCAGGCGTTTATCGCGGATGATATCTAACATATGTGGGGATATGGGTAACTCGTTAGCAGGAGAAACAAGTTGAACACCTTGAACCATTGACTCAAGAAAAGCTGAGAATTGCCGTTTGACTGTGCGGCGTGATCATCGAGCAGCACAACGCAGAACATTAGATGCTGCACTTCGCGAATGCAAAGGAACAAAAACTGACTATAAATTTTTGCCAAGCGAGCTAGGATCACCAGGGCTTTCAACTTACGGGTGCAAGTGCATAACGTTCACAGGAGTGCAAGTGTGTTTGAGTACTGTAGATGATCTTGAACGGAAACAGAGAAAGTGTGTCATGAATGGCCAAAATGCCGATACGTTCCCTCGCTGCAAGTTCTCGCAGATTTTTCAAAAGATAGTACACAACAGGCCCGCACAACACCCGGATATGATTTTCGGACAGGACCGAATTGAGGGCGTGTAAAGAAAAGTGCCAATTATTTTTGTAGAAATTGAAGCTTCAGACATGAGCAGCGGGAAAGCAGTACTGAATTGCTTGCGCAATCCCAGTCGCAGCTCTTCCTATGTTGCATTAAATTTATCAAACAGGTAGTCCTGCTGAATTTGCTGTTCAACCACTTGAAGGGAATAAGCACAAAGAATGGTTGGTGATGGGTCATACGGTCATCAAAACGATTTGAATACGGAACGTATAAATCAAGCAGATGAAATTGTAGATAAAAACGATCTTGAGAGTAAAAGTGATTTGTGAGACTAATCTTAGCGCAGTAGGAACAGTGAGGTGAAGGGAAAAGAGTGAAGGCGAGCGCTGCTGAGCAAGCCTGTGATAGAGTTTGACCGAGTCTCAGAAAAAAGGCGGCAGTCCATCAAAGGACAAGTGTCACTCAATAAGATAGTAAACGAATGTGAATGTATGGAATCAAACCTTAGTGGTCAACGCGGATTTCAAACTCGCGCTTGACGGCGGCGGTATCGACACCGACGTTCTCGGAGGATCTACTGGAGAGGCCACCGAGCTAAAACAAGTAGTAGAATGTACAATGTGTCTTGAAAAGCATATGGTAGTTGCAGAGCCCTAGTAAAAGCTTAGAGAGAGCTGCTGTTTCGGGAAAGTGCTTCAAGCGTTAAAGCAATGAACAGCGCGCAGCCGCTACCTGAGTGTCGCCGACGACTGTTGTCTCCTGGATAAGTTCCCTTCTGATGTACCAAACAGCCAGTGACAGAGGTACGGAGAAAAAGAGCGCAGCGGTGTATAGGCAGTAAAGCAGCCACGGACGAGGATCGAACATGTGCGAATGCGATGCGCCACCGATAACGTGCAGGAGGCCAGAACGCCCAGTTGGGGGCGGGATCCTCGATCTCCAGGTCTGTGTCGATCTCCTGCACCTTTTCATGGATGAGTTGTTATCGAACTTCGAAATTAAAAGCAACGGACATCGTGAGTGAAAACGACGATACATCAAGGGGATCACGATAAGTCACGACGCGCTGCCATTGGTGCATTTCGCTTACACAGCGCACTGCCAGCCTGATTACCGTAATTTCTACTGCCATCGCCGACTACAAAAAATGATTTGATCAATCTCGCTTGCGGTACTAAAGCACCGCATTTGAAAAACCGGAAAAACATATCACACACTTCAACGTTTTAGGATGCTGTAGTGTTCCGAATATTATCAGGGTGTGTGACAATAGATGGGTGGAGATGTGAAGTGATAAGCTGTAGTTACTAACGCTTTAAGTATATTGATCATAGTGCTGGCTTCTCTATAAAAGAGCACCTATTTGGACTTGGCACAAAAACTTTGAAACCTTACCTGACTGCACAAAACTGACAGAAGAAACGCCCCCCCCCCTCCCTCATGGACTAGCTTTGGTTTGTTTAGAATGCGTTTCCTGTTGTTGTCTATAGCTGCAATGAACATTTCGAACACCTTCGGTAAAGCAAAGCTTAATTCTAAAAACTATAGGTTTGAGGTTCCTTTTCAAAAGCGATAGTTTAATGGCTTCCAGGCGATCGTTACAGCGCAATCTATTATTGGAATCACAGACCGCAGCACTTCTTCGAAACTTCTTAAAGCATCAAATACGATGTCTTTTACGGAGATGAAGGCTCTGAAGTTGCAATTTGAACAAACCTTGCATTTATTAAAGTACAGATACCAATAAACTACTCCTCGGTGGAAGCTGCTTGCATGGCTTAAGTGTTTTCTGTAAGCTTCCATAGTTCGTGTGGCGTAGAGAACTTGACCAAAATGGATAGGTTTAGAAAATAGCCGAGAAAATGAGCATACACCTTTTTTTGTTGCGGAAGATTATCTTAATTTTTCATAAAGTTAGGTCGTTGATTCATGCATAGGAAAGTCTGCAGAAAGTCTTAACACGTTTCGGACCGGTGCTGCACATGGTGCAGCACGAGCCTTTCAAGGATCTTTTTAGTGTTTATAGGAGTTTTTCTTTTTGTCCAAGATTATCAAGTCAAAGTCCTAAGCTTCTCCTTTTCAAATAACTCTGTAGGGCTGTGCCGCCGATATTTGTTTAGAAGATATGAGGACAATTCGAACAACAGTTGCAACAAAGCGCGGCATCGCGAACGACGCGTGCGACGTCGCAACTTTTCTTTGCTTCGAATTCAAAGAGAAAAACCATAGTTCCAATGATGATGTGTATGGTGTACAACATAGATACTTTTGGATACAATTAGAAACTGAGTTCTTGTTCCTATCTTTCAGGAAAGCACTGAAGTCCTTCTCAGGCGACAAAATTCAGACACTTCGAATTCACTCAGAACTTTGGGTATAGAGCTCATCTGACATGCTGATTACTGATGTAGCACACAGTAAACGAATTAAGGTCCCTCTGTTGGCTAACGGCTGAAAGTACCCTCTTTTTCGCCGCGTGCGATTTCGCGGTCCGAAACGTGTTAAATAATCTTTCATCTGGACATGTAGCTGTGAATTTTCGTACTGTTGTAGCATGCTAAAGCGCCGTTATATAAGCGACACGGTGATAACGCTTAGTCCTCCTTCTTGCTTCTGACGCAGAAGGCTTTAGATTTGTCTTTGATTTGGGAGAACATGTGTGTCTTCTGCATCATGCGCATCTTCTTCTGTAGCGTCGGCTATAATCTAGCACAATGATCATCGCTCAAAATCCACATCCTGAGTTGAGGTGCGGGCCTGCTTTCACTTCTCCAACTGTCGTCGTGCCCGATAGTCATCTTCTAGTCTGCCGAGAATAAAGACCACCCACAAAGGTTGCTAGATGTGTTGTGACTGATAGCACATCCATGGATGCGGATCAGCGCATTCCGAAGTGAAAACTCGATGACAGCGCTGACGCGGCAGCCGCGCCGGCAGAGCTGAGGAGCCGGCGCAGCGTCAACTAGTTTAGCAAAGCGTCACCAGATTAGCTTGGGTTTGCTTGTACCAACGGCGATCGATTTCGATCGATTTAGGTCTGGATGAATAATGCTGGAACTTTGATACAATCGCCCCCGAAAGGAAACTGAAAGCGCTTTCACATGCAATAAACAGCCAATTCTCCGATTAAACAGCTTCAAATTTGTCGAGATGACACCGTAAAAGCAGTAACACCGTTCATAATTGCAGAGACATTGTAGACGGTGAATAACTTCATCATATCACATACCTTGAGCGGGCATATGAGACTGTAATCTTCAAGTGCTTATATCGCCATGCCAAAATTCAACTCAACTGCTTATGAGAGCTTTTACTGACCGACTCTTTTGCATTAAGCTCAGTTCGTAACCAAGCAGCAGCAATTACATGCACATGTTCTCCAAGAGCTGCGGAAGCTTGTAAAAAACAAAGGTTCGCAATTTGATGTTGCAGCATTGCTGAATCATTTCAAACATTATATGTATCTTTTTGAGGGATTTTCTGAATGGAAATACGGCTCTGGCTCGCTCACTCAATGTTGAGTTTTTGAAAGAAGACTAACAAGCACGGCACGAGCTGGCACCAGGGAAATTTCAAAACGAAATCCTCTTTAATCTTGAAATTTTCATACGAAATCCTCTTTGACCTGTTTTGCAGACCCGTCATTTTTAAATGCTGTAAAAGTATGTAATAGGGTTTTCACGCACGCTGATTTCATTGAACACGTTTCAAAGACTTCTGAGCTTTTTAAGTGGCTTGATCACATCTTTAGAAGCAATAAGTTACCGTTTGCAGTTACAATTTGCTTGGAACTTGTGAAAGAAGCATGATTCTAAATACGAAATAAAGAAAATGCTAATCTTAAAAGTGTGTTAAAGGATTTAAAAGTGTAAGAACAAAAAGTTTTTGTTAAAAAAGCTACACTTCAGTTAAAGAAGAAGGGAATAAATAACAAGGGACAGTCGTCCTTGTGGTGCCGTGCTTGGTAGCGGAGATTGCCAGTCAAGTAAAACATTGAAAACATTTCCTTCTCATAATATTAGGTTGGAATTTCGGTCGCTTTTGTAATTCCTACAGATGCTGCAGACAATAATTTGTATTCTGTCCAGTATGCGGTACCTATGGACAGATCAATGAGAACTAGGGGCATAACTGTCCTTCACTGATAATCGAAACTTCTGAATAGTTGATATGTGATAAAAGAACCCTTGAACTACTACTCATCAACAAGAGATCATGAATAAAGAACAATTAGGAAAGTTTTTATGGAGATTTTCATGCTAAAACGAAATTATTTTCTCGCCACAATATATAGAGTACTCGTAAACGGTTAACTCACCTGGTTCGGTAATATGGTCATTAAAAGAACACACATCACGATATGCCAGATTGGGAGTAAATGTAAAACTCAGTGCTCCTACTTGATCAATCAACGAATAGTAGATATGTAAATCAGCTATGGACTCAACCATCAATTTAAAGCAAATTGATTCTACAAATCTCGTTTTAGGTGAGCGACCGAATCGGTGAAGTAAATTTTCTAAGCAAGATTCAGGAGTAGTATAATCGCGAGTTCAAGAATCTCAGACAAACAAAATTGCGATAACAACTGCAGGAGTGGGATAAACCAAGAAAATTTAGCACAAAAATCATCAATCGAACATGCGTTCAATGATAATCCTTAGATGGAAGAGACATCTCGCAAATTTTTTTTGATAGATGTCATTCAAGGAAGGTTGATGAGAACTGAATAATACGTTTGTCTGCTATCCGAAACATCTCCAGAGAAAGTGCAAAATATATGGAAGGGTAGATCTCAGACGATAACCAACTTCTTCAGAAATCAAAAGCGGGATTTATAAGGCGACATCGTCTTTCCTCAATCACTTACTTGCTTTGTTACAACTTATCACATTTTGAAAAATGTTGAACCAGCTGCCATGTCTTGATACATATCTAAGATATGAACCCACACCATGATAACGTCAAGCAGAACAATTATGATAATATTGCAATGTAGTCGTTATAGAAGCTATGATATTTGTAAGAAACAGAAGTTGAGTAATCAGTACCAAGACCTCGCAAATAATTCGAAAATCATGCGGGGCAAAATTTTGCTATCATTCTTCATATCAAATCATTCTCAGGGGTATTGAATCTAACAGCGGAAGCTTGTTTAGTCGAAGTGGCCTTTCTAAATGAGATGTATACCGTATTGAAGGGCATAAAACGCTGACTCCAAATCTGCCATCCTTATCTGCAGAGCTTATATGCACGAGAAGTTAGGAGCGTTTTTTAAAGCCAAAAAATGAACGTGCATTTTGGATAAAATGAGTTGCTAAAATCTCGCTAGCCCCCAAATAATGCAACCAAGTGTGGTACATTTTTTATTTGAGAGTATTTTTTGGATAAAGTGCTGTGATGACTATCACTGCTCCTTCAAAGAGCTAGAAAAGTACTACGGCTATTTTTGTCCTACTTGCACTTCAAATTTTTTGCCCCAATAGGCGCTCATAACTCCTCGTCCATAAATGCGCTGCAAAAGAAGGCGGATTTGGAATCAGCAACTTACGTCCTCTAATATATTATACGTCCCATCTAAAAAGGTCACTTCGACTAAGCACGCATTCCTTGTAAGAAGAACCAACACAAGCCGCTACGTATAATCTGAAATTTGCGCCAAATGGTGCTTGCTTTTCTGTAGCCTGCTTGAAAGGTTGTCAGCGCTAACGCCGTGCCAGCGGCATGCCAGCGCAACTCCAGTTTCATGCCAGCGTCGTGCCGAAACTTCAATCGATACAGGACAAGGTTAGGCTTTTTTTGCGATGACTTACACCGTCGTTTTCATCACTCAACATGCAAGCATAGAGCAATTGACAGTGCATGCCATATTGCCTAAGTAAATACGAAAGCTTTATGTTTTTTTTTGCTGAGATTTGAACTACATTTTGAAAAAAACAATTAATAAAAGTTCTTGGATGCGTTTATTGCAGCAATGCTTCCTTTAGTGAGGAAGTTCGAATTCACAATCTCTGAAAGGATTTCATATGATTGCAGTACAATACCGCTCATATTTTTTGAAAAATATACGCGAATGTATGGACATGTATGGACATGTACGGACATGTCGCTACATGTATGAACATGTAGCGACATGTCCATACATGTCCATACATTCGCGTCTATTTTTCAAAAAATGTGAGCGTTATTGTAATTCATAACGTGTCATTTTGCCAATGTCCCTCAATTTTGCCAACTTCCCTCAATTTTTACATTTTTATTCCTATTTTCGCGAAGAAAATCACACAGACAAGAGACAAACAAAGCTTAGGGTTCGCGGGAATTTTTTTGCCAGATTGTGCAAATTAACGATTCTTGATTATTTCCAAGCACATTTTGCTGCTTGAACAGCTTGCTTTGATTTTGACTTTTTGCAATGGCTTGAACTGACGTCTCCAGCAAACCATATAGTTCGTTTTGCAGGTTGTGCAGCTGTGTTATGCCCCAGACAGTAATTTCAAAAAATACGGAATTCAAAGTGGTCAAATTCAAGGATTTTCTGTTGGAAATCGGCAACATCGAGCTGTTCGGACACAGTCGTATGATATTCTCCAAAATCATTCACTTTTTAGGAGGTTATAAAAAGGAGAGCGAAAAAATACTTTCGCAGTGGCCTAATAATTCTCTATACGATCTGCCGGTATAGATTATGAGGCAGAATGCCACTCTTGCCGACTCAGGTACAGACTGCGACGTCGGCAGCTTACACAATGGGGGGATGCGCTCAATACCTCGCTAATGCCCCTTACTTGCTCATTACCTGTTAACAAGCATATGCAGTCTCGGTGATATCGATTTCACACGTGGGCAACATTTTATCTTTTTGTACAGATTTTTAATCACTTCATATATGCCGTGCTTACAGATTATGCTGTCTTTTCTTCTCTACCAAGTTTTGCTACTGAGGCCAAGTGAGCCACTCAAGTTAGGACTTATTGATGATGAAGACAATTTACAACCGTTGTGCAACGCTGCTTTGGAAGAAGCAAAACAGAATGCGGCTTGCGTGTCTGACACGATTCAGTGAGTTTTAGGTCATGACGAATTGCACAGAAGCTCCACACCTTTTGTGACCAAAATATGAAATTTGGGTGATATGGATGATACTGGTCTATGGATATTTACAAACACAGATCAATGCATGAATCTCAGTATTCTTCCCATAGCCACCGCTTCGCATGCCTCTCACGCTTCTGCGCTGCCTTTAATCCGTTTTCCAAAGCATTCACATACTATTGCTCCTTTACCGACGCCTTGAAGGCAGCAATGGGCTGCGTTGCGGTGGTACCTACGGTAAGAATTCAGGTAAAAAAACTCTAGCCTGGTGCTACTTTTCAGAATGAAACTAAGGAAGTGTCTAATGCTTTGTGTGTTTGCTCAAAAAGCTTACCAAATAGCACTACATATCGTATTCATCCATACACGGTCCAAAAAAATTCAGTTCTTGAAGTCTTTCCCCGTCGACTACAAAAACCCACGAACGAATTACTTTCTAGAATTGTCCTTCGAATTGGATGCAACGAGAACCGCCCATCAAAAGGAACATCTATGGCTGCTGAGCTGTTTTTTAAAGAAAACGTAAGATTTGAAATTGAATCAGGTTTTGATCATCCCACATACTGCACCTATGAGCAGTAACCAATTATTAAATATCTTTGTTATCTTACTCCCACTCTGCAAGTTCCACGATTCCATTATGGGCTAGATAGAAGTCGTCGCTCAAATTGATGTAGCTTTCATTTGGGTCGTTAAAGGCACCGTCCACCCTAAGTTAGAAGTCTTGAGCTTTTGGCACTTTATGATGGGCCCCCTATCAAGCCAATGCCCAAGCCGCGGAGCAAAATGTCGATTCGGAAGTGAGGAAATCACTTCGGAATAACGAAGATACATGAGGACCCCATTCGGCACCGCCCACCCCATCCATCCGCCCATCAGTGCGCGCCCATGCAATCACCGTTCCGGAAAGCGAGCCTGTGGGTTCTCCGGAACGGAGATTGTCTGGGTTTTGCAGATTTTCGACTTTATATTCGGAATCAGGGACCTGAGAAGGCCCCGGAACGATCAAAACATGGAAGTCGAGGATCTAGGTGGACGGTGCTTTCGAGGAAAATCCACAAAATTATTGGGAATGATAAGTATGAGCAGACTGCGATACGATAATCTGAATTGTCACTCCTCAAAGTTGCTGAGACGTTCAACAGTCATCCACAAGGAACTCACTTTGTTTCTGTTTTTTATGAGTGGTATTTGCAAATGCTGGGCTGTCACCGTGCTATTAGAACCTTTCGTTATCCCAATTTCCCGCACTTACCTTTGCTTCATTTCTTACTCTTTTCTATTTTATGTTAACGCCTACATTGCTCCCCCATGTAACGACGAACAAGAGCAGATTGGTCGACTTGGATACTTTTGGAAGCGACCAGTTTTCGCTAGGACCTTGAGTACACCTTTTGCCATGAATCCAACGGTGAGATACGGGTGATGAATATTGCTCTCGTCATAAACACGTTTTTCCAGGTTTTCCCGAACACAGTCAATGTAGCGACTTCGTCCTCCGCCGGTCTTGCTCAATCACTATTACAACTTGCTAGGCAGTTAGATGAGATACAAGTTGGTTTTACGCCGAAGATTCCCTAATGTATTGGGTTGTTCGGAAAATAGTGTCGCATTACATACCATCGCGACAGGGTAGACACGAAAAGAAGTGAGTAGGGTAACATTTGACAGAGCAATGCAAGTTCTATAAGAAGCAGCATAAACAACAAACTCCTAAAGTTTGAAGCTAAAATATGAAAAAAATTCAACTAGCATAGAATCATCTATTTGAGAGTGGCTCAGGATTGCTTTAGCAAGAATATGCTAAATTTTCCCGTTTTCTCGATTTCTAGCCATGGAAAAACCGCGAGAATGTGCATAGGACTTACTGATATAGAGTGTGTATGCATGGACAAATGGGGTTCCTAGGATTTTTTTAGACGGAGTTACAATCGGTTTTTCAGACATGTAGAGCCTTCTCAGTGGCGTACCCAGGATTTCCGCTCGGGGGGGGGGGGGGGGCGACAAAAAAATTTTTCGGATGAAGGTGCGTGGCGTTAGCCACGCATTCCGAAAATTTTTTTGGGATGCTTTCCAGAATTTTAGTGGCCCCCTGACCCCAAAATTTTAGAAAAAGGGGGCATGGCGTCAGCCACGCCCCCGAAAAAAATTTTTTTATAAGGCTAACTTGAATTTTTAGAAATTATTTTGATTATTTACAAGTAAAAACAAGTCGCTTGCACATTTTTATAACACATTTAAGTGACTTTCAAATATTTCGCGACCCATTCTCGGGGGGGGGGGGGCGCCCCTCCCCCCCCTCGGTACGCCAATGAGCCTTCTGAAGCTTCAAACTTCAAGCAAATCGGACCATTTGCAAACATTTGAGCTTCAACTTGTAGAGCTTGCTTTGCGCTTATCGAACAGTACTTTTTGACTTCTTTCCTGTTAAATACAATACCGCTCGTAATTTGTGAAAAAAATTGGCGGCGGCACCTAACTCACGCGGCGCCGCCGCAGTTAGGCGTCGCGCGACAAAGCTAGGCGGGAAAGCGGCACTTGCTACCTAACTTTGTCGCGCGACGCCTAACTTTATTAGAAAAAAGACCTTATCTTGATTCAAGATTTATGAATGCTGTATTTAAGAGTACCATTCAACTCAGCTCGGCGAGGCGCATCTTCCACTATACAGATGTGCGTAGTTGTGGGATATAAGTTTTTTTCTAGAATTTTAGTGTAAATGGATCATTCGGTGTACTGATTCCAGAGGCTACATACACATTCTGTTGAGCACTGCAGAAATAGGGCAGGTATAGTTCAAGAGCTCATTCTGCATGGATATGTGTGAAACTGGCTTTTCTCGGCGAAGTATGACGGGTCCCAAAATGCAGGAAGACTAAGGGAAATGGTTGGAAATCGCATGAGAAGCACATATCGCGGAATGCCGCGCGTGCTATGCAATGTACACTACCACCCACAGGACGGGAATTTCGCGATTCAAATTATGCAGCACCATAACTCGCAAATTACGCAGCGCCATAACTTCCTTCGGAATAAATATATTCTAAATTCGAAAGCAGCATTGTGTTCAGCTCTCCAAGGCGAATCTTTCCATACGTCATTTCATCTATATCTTGTTTCCAGTTTTTTCAAATTTTTCTGTCCCTTTGCAAGTATGCAACGCAGCGCCTATCCAACATAAAAGAAAGCTTCTAATAAGTACCATTCTATAGTGCTCCTCTTGTACGTTATAGTGCGCTAGAAAGCTGCCGCAGACTTCTTCCCAAAGGAGATAGAAGGGCTGGTGAATTCTGGAAAAATCATGTCATTCTAAATTTTTCTCAACGTAACTCTAATTTATGAAGCTCTCTTGCTAAGCAGATGTGATTTTCGTAATCAGCAGGCTGGATAACCCTTATGAGCAAGTTTCCCAAGATGTTCGAGTTCATTTTTCATCGTTTTACGCTCTGAAGCTGGCCGATGGATTTTGGTCAAAATGTTCAAGCTCTTAAATTGTAAGGAAACTTCGCTTATAGAGGTTTTCGAACACGCTCTTTACGAAAATCAAGGTCTTTGAGGAGCACAGGGTCTTTTTGGTGAGATACGGTGAGGTGACTGTAACTGTCAAGAAAGTGCGTAACTTTGCCCGCACTTTTCGCGTATCTGTCAAAAAACTTGCTTGCTTGCTTGTCCAAGTCAAAGTTATTAGGGACTGTGCCATCGAAGGCCATTTCTGTAGAGTGGAGTCTGAGGCATGGTGCATGCCTTAGACTCCACTTTACAGACGCCGAGTTACGAGCCTACGAAAACACATCCTCATGAATTTGCCCAAAATGTAAAGATCGCATATTTCGTCGAAATTCAACCGTGAGTGCCTGTATGACACTGGCATTGCGGATATTGTGTTCGCTTCGCCCAAAGACTCCCACTGTATTGAAATGTTACTTGCGTATGCTTCAGCTGCTCAGTTGAATATCAAAGCTATTTCGGTGGCTAGAACTCAAACTACGAAATCTAACACAACAAGATCCATTAAAGATGTGAAAAGATTTAATCAACGTGTTGCATAAGCACCACGGTTGAATTTCGACGAAATATGCGATCTTTACAGTTTGTGCAAAATTCATGAGGATATGTTTTCGTAGGCTCGTAACTCGGCCATTTCTGTAGAGGGAGTCTGAGGCATGCACCATTCGATGGTACAGTCCCTAATAACTTTGACTTGGACAAGCAAGCAAGCAAGTTTCTTGACAGATAAGCGAGAAGTGCGGGCAAAGTTACGCACTTTCTTGACAGTTACAGTCACCTCACCGTATCTCACCAAAAAGACCCTGTGCTCCTCAAAGACCTTGATTTTCGTAAAGAGCGTGTTCGAAAACCTCTATAAGCGAAGTTTCCTTACAATTTAAGAGCTTGAACATTTTGACCAAAATCCATCGGCCAGCTTCAGAGCGTAAAACGATGAAAAATGAACTCGAACATCTTGGAAAACTTGCTCATAAGGGTTATCCAGCCTGCTGATTACGAAAATCACATCTGCTTAGCAAGAGAGCTTCTAATTTAGAGTTACGTTGAGAAAAATTTAGAATGACATGATTTTTCCAGAATTTGCCAGCCCTTCCATCTCCTTTGGGAAGAAGCGTGCGGTTAATTTCTAGCGCCCCATAATCTACAGAAGAAGTACCTTCCAAAATTTCTTTCTGAATCTACTGGGGGCAATACGCGCTGCTTCACACCTTGAGACGTCCTCAGAACGTTTTAAGAATACTGAAATCGAGATATCAAGGACATATTGCATACCGAAAGATTTGCCTTGATGAGCTGAGCACAATGCATTTTTCGGATTCAGAAAATATCCACTCCAAAGAAAGTTACGCCGAAAATCTGGAAACGAGTGATTTCCCAGAATTTACCAACGATTTTTTCTCTTTTGGAAAGAAGTCTGCGGCAGCTTCCTAGCGCACTATGATGTACAAGAAGAGCACTATCGAATGGTACTTACTGGAAGCTTTTATGTTGGATAGGCGCTGCGTTACATACTTGCAAAGGGACCTCCTCAGAAAAATTTGAAAAAACTGGAAACAAGATATAGATGAAATGACGTATGTTGAAAGATTCGCCTTGACGAGAAGAACACAATGCTGCTTTCGAATTTAGAATATATTCATTCCGAAGGAAGTTATGGCGCTGCATAATTTGCGAGATGTGGCGCTGCATAATTTGAATCGCGAAATTCCCGTCCTGTGGGTGGTATTGTACATTGCACAGCACGCGCGGCATTCCGCGATATGTGCTTCTCATGCGATTTCCAACCATTTCCCTTAGTCTTCCTGCATTTTGGGACCCGTCATACTTCGCCGAGAAAAGCCAGTTTCACACATATCCATGCAGAATGAGCTCTTGAACTATACCTGCCCTATTTCTGCAGTGCTCAACAGAATGTGTATGTAGCCTCTGGAATCAGCACACTGAATGATCCATTTACACTAAAATTCTAGAAAAAAACTTATATCCCACAACTACGCACATCTGTATAGTGGAAGATGCGCCTCGCCGAGCTGAGTTGAATGGTACTCTTAAATACAGAATTCATAAATCTTGAATCAAGATAAGGTCTTTTTTCTGAAAAAGTTAGGCGTCGCGCGACGAAGTTAGGCGGCAAGTACCGCTTTTCGGCCTAACTTCATCGCGCGACGCGGCGCTTGCCGTCTACTTGCCGCGTAAGTTAGGTGCCGCCGCCAATTTTTTTCACAAATTACTAGCGGTATTGTATGTCACGATAAGATTGATTCGATGCGCCATTATTTTTCGGACAACCTGATATTTAGAAGGTTGGATTGCAAAATGCATTGAAGGTTCTAGATAACGCTCGTTGGACCTCCAACTAGGAATACCGATCAGTATTCCATTACCAATGCCATTTACGATTATCTAAATGCTACGGGTTCGATGCTGATTAGGAAGAATATCGAAGTATGCATCTCTTTCTATCCTAAGACCCTTTTGATTCCTATAGTTTATAGGTAAGAAAGGACTACATTGGTATATCAGACACTATTCGCTCTCTACAAATGTCAACGAAAGGTGATCTTAGAAATTCGCTTATTCCTCGCTCTAAAGCGAATCATTGCAGTTGTTGCCATCGGTACAGATTTTGAAAACCTGAAAGAAGCGCTGGGCCAACTCGATGTTCGTAGCTTGTCCAGTAACTCATACATTGTAATTATGCTCTGCTCTAGTCCAGTAGAGAACTGTTTTGCTAATCCTGACGCAAGATCTGTAATTGCGAACAATGATATAATGGTGGTGAGCGAGAGCAACTATAGGGCATTCGAAAAATCGTGACGATGGCGCGACTGCGCGCGACACGCAGCAACCGCATTTTCTTGGTTCCTATCTCTACTCGAATGGTTTTTCTGCTTACATATGATATTATTCACTGGAAGTGACTGAGCTGAGTGTTGAGGTGATGCTTGCTTGTATGGATGCTTTATGCTCCTGTGTACGCAAGGCCGCAGTCAAACCCGTCGTCACGATTTCAAGAATGACCTATAGCTCATTTTCTCCCAAAAAGTGAATCACTTCAGCTAGCACCGAGGATGGAGAACTACGCTATGGCAAGCACAAAGTTATCAACACTCATTTCTAATCCTGTTATGGTACGGGAAAGCATTTACATACGCTAATATGGTTATGCCCATGATCATTACAGGGGAATATGGACAGATATATATCCCTGTACAATTCTTGCTATGGATACTGCTTCGGAATAAAAGTCGGTGGAACGGGAGATACACAGACTTTCTCGGCAACAATGAAATCAAAATCGTTTTCCAGTAAGATTTTCTAAATATCAACTTATCAGAAGTGCAGATTGTATTGCGCGGTTACATAAAGATGCTATTTTCATTCTTCTTAGTTTTGATCATCTTATGCAATTCTAACTACATAACTGTCTTATAACAGCCAGTCCAACGATTTTTACCTTAACTATTGATTCTTTCTAGATTCCCTGGGAACATTTCAGTTTGATGGTGGAGGCACCCTCCTCTATGATTATTACCTCTACACTCTGCCCGGCAGGGATGGTAAGCGGAACCTTAGCCTAAGGTCACTCTAAGCACTTTCTCACACAGAATCGTACAACGTCATCATGCAAATGCTTACACAGACCAGCCAGTGCACTTCGATCACTTGCTTCACTTTGGTAATTCAATAATAAGCAAACCTCAACTTCAAATAACGTTTTATTGCAGACAGGAAGACCACTAGATCTCGATTTTCTAGCAGCTAAGCAGAAACAACAGGTAGCCGAATGCTTGCGAATGGGAAACTGTCGAAATCATCTTGGTGCGTACATAGTGCCCCCCCCCCCAAAATGTCCACACTGTCGGCCGATGATAACTCTTTTGACTCAGTATTTTTCGCGAGCCTTCACATTGTAGATAGTCTTAGCTTAGATTTAGAATAGAAAATGAAACGCCGATCGCTCACAAGTTCGCCATTGTACAAGTCGTGCTCTCGCGACGATTTGGCCGCGCCGCGCGTGGTCCGCAGTGTTTGAACAGTCCGTGCGGTCAACGAATCAAAGATACAGTCGAGTAGATTTTCCGCTTAATATAGTGTGCTTGCACAGAAGGTGAAATGCGGTGAAATTTGCGCGTGAATAAATAGCCGCGGCAATATTGCCGGCATTTTGCGCGAGCCATTGTTTGGCGTTACAGTCGATGCTATTGTCGACTCCCCAACTTTGGCGAGGCGGGATCGTGATCTTCACCAAAGATCGATGGATCAGGTATGCCTCAGCACAGGGCAACCGCAACGCAAGGCACGCTAGCGCAGCTCCGCCTCGCCAAAGTTGTGGAGCCGCTCATATTTGTTCACGCGCAAATTTTAGATACCGCATTTCACACTATATTAAGCGGAAAATCTACTCGACTGTAGCTTACTTGCAATAAAGCTTTATGTTGAAATTTCCCATCATAATCGTAAAGTAAGGAAGGGCGACCAGTAGACTATTTCGTACCTTATATATCTTCAATTCCCACTTGAACATGCACTGACTTATGTGAGCCTAAGTCAAAGTCCCTGCAAAGCAGTAGCCAAAGTTTCGCGAACGACTTTGAGAAAAGTGGGTTACTAACGATCGACAGTGCACACTTTGGGTTGATTACATGCAAAAGTTTCTCATATAAAACGCACGATTATTCAGGTTTAATACTTGGCGTAGTATTTGGTTCAATCGCTATAATTGCTATTGTTGTTGGCTACATCATCAATAGAAGGTAATTCTTATGAAAGCAATCTTGAAGCTCTAACTTATGTCTTACAGGCATCGCCTCAATGTGTACCGCATGCACTGGAAAATTCCGAAAGATCAAGTGAAGATAATCGAAAATAAGCAGGTGAGAACTGTAAGTGTTAAAAGTTTTGTGCTAAAAGTTTTTATCATCGTTCTACATCTAATCAGAGCCCCTTCAAAAATGAAGTGATCAGTGCATGCTTGTTGGAAATAATCTTATATATAAAGCTGAATGTCTGTTTGTCTGTCTGTATGTCTGTCTGTCTGTATGTATGTACGTATGTTCCGAATACAAATTTTTATTTCTGAACCGATCGGGACCAAACTTGGCACACATATACTTCAGGGCAGGGAGCGTGTCATAGGCTACTTTTCGTTATCGATCGATATCGATTTTATTGATTTTTTGCAAAATTCGAGCTAGAGGGCTGGGATTTGGCAGAGGGGGGTAATCGAGCATGCTGATCACCCCGAAGGAGTGATCAGCATGCTCGATTACCCCCCTGTGCAAAATCCTAGCCCCCTAGCTCAAATTTTGCAAAAAATCGGTAAAATCGACATCGATCGATAACGAAAAGTGGGCTGTGACACGCTCCCTGCCCCGAAGTGTATGTGTGCAAAGTTCGGTCCCAATCGGTTCAGAGATAAAAATTTCTATTCGGAACATACGTACACGGGTCTAGCTGGCAGGCCCGGCGGAGCCGGGCAAGCCAGCTAGTTGGATAATAATCTCCTACAAATCCTTTGAACAGCAATCTTCATTTTGAACGTATACTTAGTTACGTCCCTCAAGATGTACAGTCCCCAGATAATAAACTAAGCAACAACGATGGAAGATCAAATTTACAAGTTTAGGCAAATTTCAAAGGGTCCAAGGCAGGCGATGGTATCTCAGGAAAAAGAAGGACGGTGGCGTCATATGCTTTACTTGGCAGTAATAAAGCCGAGTTTATGTCTTTGAAGCATATTAAGAAAATTAAATGGACCAAGCGAGTTTCTTAGTCACTACTCACACACAAATAAGAACTAAAAACTTTTTTGTTTAGACCTGAACTGAAATTTCTCTATGAAATGCGACAACTCAATCATGACAATCTGTCCACTTTTCTTGGGATCTGTGTCAATGAGAGCGATAACTTTTATATTCTATATGCACTTATAGACAGAGCTTCTTTAGAGGTAATCAGCAAAATTTAGTATGCCATCATGTACATTAACAGGGGCAGAAAGATGTGTTATGGTCGTTTCAGGATTTTATCAAAGATGCAGATTTTCCGATCGATGACCTATTTAGATCCGCATTTTTACGAGATATATTGAAGGTAAGGTATTTTTTTACTTCTACTAACCAACAAATGAGTGCTCAATCCAGGGCCTGCAATACCTTCACAAGTCTCCAATTGGATACCATGGTCTGTTGCTGACCAAACATTGTCTCGTCGATTCAAACTGGGTACTGAAGTTGACGCATTTTGGTGTAGCGAGCATGCTTCACGAGCTCATAGCCGACAACGTTCTACACATTATGCCGGAGCATAACCTAAACCCTGACTGTGAGTCCCTTTTTCATCCGCAACACAATCGATGCTGAAGTTGGCTCAATCCCTAGAATTTTCTTTCGCAGATCAAAATGAAATTTGAATAGAAGTGTTCACTTGTTGAACAAAGCTGTGACTTACCTTATATGAGTTGAACTTGGCTTGATAAAGCCGACTGCTGAAAGTCAACTACACGGTACGATGTCTTGTTTCAAATTTTTCCGTTTATCGAACTCCTCTACTTCTCGATCTTTAGTGTAGCAGACAGCTCCAACATCGTCTCTTCCGGTATTTTGAGTACCCTCTAAGAGTTTCCATTGCATACCCATTTTTTCTTATTTCATCGAGCTTAATAAGTTGTTCCGTATCACGTTGTTCCATCAACACTGAGTTACGAATTCTACCTTTCGAATGAGTCTGTAAATTAAACTACGGCTAATATATCTGAACGAAGGTCACTGCAGACCGTAACGATCTTTTGCAAAAATGTTCAGTAAGGAGGCATTTGCACAGCCAGGCATTCTAGCGCGTTCGAGACTGTTAAGGATAGCTTCCAAATTACAATAACAATGGAATGGCACTTGTAAAGTACAACTTGAATGAGTGATTTTTGCGAGCACACTTTTATTAGCAAATGAGTCTGGCAGTGCAAGCACTAAATTAGCACAAATTCTTTGAGTAGCAACTATATAACGATTTATATGCGCAGTAGCCCATGGCATTCTGTCCACGTAACTACACGTCAATGGCGTACCGAGGGGGAGGAGGGGGGGGGGGAGCTTTTGAGTTACTGACAAGTAGTGAGTTACAAAAATGTGCAAATGACTTGTTTATACTTGTTACCAATAAAGATAATTTTTGAATTCTTAGAAATTCAATTTTAGCCTTACGAAAATTTCTTCGGGAGCGTGGCTAAGGCCACGCACCTTCATCAGAAAAATATTTTTGGCCTTCCCCCTTCCCCCGAACGGAAATTCTGGGTACGCCACTCTACACGTGTTTGGTTGATTGTTGCTTACTAACAAGCCCAAATATCGTATTTAGATTTTCCTATGTTCGCACCGGAACTACTCAAAGAAACAGGGAACTGTGACAACTATCCTAGAGGATCACCACAGGGAGATGTTTACAGTTTAGGAATGATACTGTATTGGCTACTTTACAGAGAAGATCCGTTTTCGAAAACGGGTCTGAGAGGAAGAGGTTCGAAATTTCTTTTTCGGGTTGAAGACAGATCAAGCAGATACACCTTGTGTAATATCAATAAAGTAATTGCAGCGTTAGTCGCCGAGATTCTGAAACGGCGACTGAAGCCCGAAGTGGACGATTATGACGGCTCGGCAGAACAAAAGGTCAGCTTTTCCACTTACGCTTATTTTAGAATACTTCCTGTTTGTTCAATTGTGTTAAATAAGATAGGCAACAAAACCGACTGACTTCTTCAGGCGCTTACACGCTTGATGAAAGAATGTTACGCTACAGCTTCCGAATCCCGGCCAAGCCTTCGCAACGTCTTCACGGCTGTAAATAAAGCCTTCAGTGCATCGTAAGACGCAAACTGCATTTGGAAACTAGTTAATTGTGATCGCTTAGGAAGGGAAATTTGGTCGACCAGATGTTAAGGATGAACGAAAAATATGCACAAAATTTGGAGCAAATAGTAGCTGAGAGGAATGCTATGCTACAAGAAGCTCAAGAACAAACAAACAGACTTCTTAACGAAATGCTACCTGCGTAAGCTTAAGGATCTAATACCAGTTTGCAAATACACAGTACCATATATGCTCTCCAAACTGATACTGCCCACAACACTATTGAACAGGACATAATTTCTACTTGAGAAAGTTTTTCTGTACATATTTCTCGCTGCTTTTGATTCACGTTAGTCTAAATCGCATTTTTGATACATAATCCCCAAATTATGTCTAGCTTTCCTGAAATTACAATAGTTTTTGCAACCTTGCTCGACTCTTGTGATAAACATCTGCGATCTAGACCCTGGCAGCTGATACTTTCCATGCTTACCTTTCCCGTTTGCTTCGAAGCCTCATGATTTTGAAAAGAATACCAGCAATTTAGATCCATTGCTCAAATCCTCAAAGAGGGTGGAAGCATACCTCCACGAAGCTATGATGCGGCTACAGTATGCTTTGTTCAGCTGTGCGACTTTCCAGCACTTGTCAGAAAAAGTAGATCCGACGAGGTATGATAGGATGAACCCCAGAAAAAAGTATAGTTCTTCATACTCAGCAGTCTCATTTCTGAGAAAAAAAAAACACCGGAACTTTTCATTTGTACAAAAATCTTGATAATGACGTGGCACAAATGTCTGCGTTATTGCAGGTTATAAGCTTCCTAAACGACATTTTTGACCGCTTTGACAGCATCATCAAAAAGCACGACGCTTACAAAGTTGAAACGACCGGAGAGACATACATGGTAGCGTCAGGAGTGCCAAACGAAAACGATGGTCGACATATTGTCGAAATTGCTGAATGCAGCTTGGACATCAGAGAGGTGAAATCTACTTGCATTGTCTGCGGAATCAAACTTCTGTTTAGGAATCCTACACCTATGTTGTAACGCATTGCCCAGACTTCAAGGTTCGCGTACGTATAGGTTTCCACTGTGGGCCGATCGCAGCTGGAGTGATCGGAATCCGTTCGCCAAGATATTGTTTATTCGGCGATACGGTAACTCATTATAACGAATTTCCCAGAACCGAACTAAGCCATCATTTTGCAATATTAACCAGGACTTTTCAGGCGTATTTATTTGAAAAATTCAAAATCCCCCACTTTGAGGGTGTGATAAAATTTGTTCTTGAAACACTGAGACCTTCAAAACTAACAACCTCGCATAATTGTTGGAAATCTTCTGGCATTCAGATCACGTAGCGCACTCAGAACTTCCAGGACTTTGTTGTGCATCGCTGGGATCTTTGATGCTGTATCTCAGAGAGCTTGTACTTATAGCGATGCGCATGTGATTTCTGTACTGACTAGGGTCACGTTCCGCTCAAAAAAACCCATGAGAGATTTGCCTTGTGAAAAGCTCAGTAAGATCTGCAAAATTTTTAGTCATTTTTTAGAGAATCAAACGGTCATGTGACAGCCATCTGCTTGTTAGCTCTTGAAGGCAGCGTCCCACCAGACTGGGGGTTACCTGGCTCTGCTAGTAATATAATAGTAGACCCCCTAAGTAAGCGACGACAGAAGCTTGCAGCGCGAAGGGGAATCTACGAAGTCTACAAGTCCCCCCCCCCCAAATGTCTAGGATCTTACAGCTTGGACGAGTACGAGATGCATGCAAGTAGAGACGCAGAGTCGTTGCAAGACCCTGCGCTCATTACTATGTGCGCTATGCGTGCTTTGGCCTTGCAGTTCGAAATCGCTGTGTGGGCGGTGTCCGGGCCTACCGTAAGATCCGGGCCACTTTCGGAGCAAATTTCGGGCTTGGTAGACCCGCCCCTTTTCGCTCCAAACTTCAGTCATCGCTTCGGTAGGGGCAAGACTCAGCACGAGGTGGCTTTTTCATTCTTCCGAAAACGAAGTCCCCACTGACTTCGCAGCTAACATACGACATCCCCTGTGACCACTAATGATTAAAACAAACAAAGCGAGCAAAGAAGAATACAAGTGGAAAAAAGAAACACGAAATTGACGGTAAGAGCAAGTAATCATTTTCGTATTCATCGAATTGGCGGCATAGTTTGTCCATCGCGCACCGTCGCACGCCTGGAGCAGCATTGCCGCCGCTACACAAAATCTTTCGAGGGCTGTAACTAGGCGGGGAGTGGGGCGTTTGAGGAGCTTTAAAATTTATTTTGTAGGGATTTGGATTTAGAACAAAACTATGTAAAGATTTTAGAAAAATGTGAAGGGAGTGAAATTTATGACTTTTTCTTTTTACACCCACCTCAGATGGCTGTCCAGGTGGCTGTAAAGCCACCTAACTCCTAAAAAAGTTTGCCACGACTTTAGCTTTCATAAATTTTCCATAATTTTTTACACATAGTTCCACCTCCCCATTGCCCATCTACAAACCAGTTTTGGTGTCATGTCATTTCCTCTCTGCTGTAAACATGGCTTTCTACGTCGGGGCGTATTTTTGAATTCCCAAACTTCCACGGATAGCATATTGCAGCGGGATGGAATTTTACAGGCAGTGCTGAGCACTTGTGACGTCTCCAGAAGATGGGTAGGTGGATCAGAAGAGCGAGGGGGGAGGTGCAATTGTGTGCTCCGCCAAGGACCCCGCAAAAACGATATCCCCTTTGCTTCCTACTCCAAAACGACATCCAGCCTGCCCGATAAGCCGGCTGTGCCGAGCCCTGGTAGGGGGGTCTACTTTAACATTGCCACAGAAACCCGGGACCCATCTTTTTGCCGAGACGCTGCCTTTAATGGATCAATAGTTGTTATAAAAATACCCCAGTTTTAGAGTACAAGACGCACCCTTTTTCATTTGTTCAAGCAAGCAGCTCGGCCACACAATTCTTTTAGATGGGGAACAGCACGGCAGAGGGTCCTTTGGTCGCGGAATTTTTCGGTGGGTCTAGGGTGGACGAGCTCCGAGAATAAAAACAGATACCGTCTTGTACTCGTGTAATTAGCGTTGTAACCTCAAAGTAATCACATCATTGGAATCTCGTGAAGGTCTATGATAGTGTACTAGAACTTTCTTCGATAACGGCTGAAATGGTTTAAAGTTTGTAGAGTCTGCATATAATAATGGTTCCGTGCTCTCGGAAAACTTTATACCAATACTTCTTTTAGAAAGAAATAAACAGTTCTGCAGAATTGGTGCAAGACGATGCTTATAACGTATTCTAGGTGAACTTCGCCTCTAGAATGCAGTCAAATTGCCCGCCGAATCAAATACAAACTAGTGAAGTGACAGCACTAAGGCTCATGACCACAAACGAATACTCTTTAGTCAAGAGAGGAATTGTGCAAGTCAAAGGAAAAGGTGAGCATTCATTACATCCTTACTACGATGAAATACAGAAATTTATCTTAAGTACCATCGTGTGTGCTAATTTAGGAGAAGTAAATTGCTACTGGCTAAATGAACACATTCATGACGCTCACCATCATGGACACTTGCCTACACCACCAACAACATCAGGGATGTTTCGTCCAAACTGAAGAGCGACACCTGTTCTAATCCTTGATCTGTGATACAATTGAAAGTAGCATAACAAAACCCAGTTTGTTACATGCTTTGGATTATTTGGAAAAATTGATAGATATCAAATGCCTTGACACGTTCCGGACCGCGAAATCGCGCGCGGCGAAAAAGAGTGTACTTCCAGATTGAAGATGGCGTATGGAGCACTGCACAGTACAAGCAAAATTAAACTGTTATCTGGTTGAGGCTTATTGCAATCTAAAGAGCTAAACCAGTGTCCGGACTACTTCGTCGCCCCTCAAGAGCACCAATCTTTGTTTCCTTTTTCCAATACCCACTGAATTTCCTGATCAATCCCTATTTTTAGTAGGTACATGACAAAGACCGCGAACGGATCGCAAAAACAAAGTCAAACACAGGGTTCGGCACAGGTGGCTTACGGGGCAAGCTGGATATCGTTTTGGAATGAAAACCAAAGGGGATATCGTTTAAGCGGAAACCCCAGCCCCCCCCCCTCCACACACAGTTCTGCCCTTATGTCACCCACCTTCTATAGAAGACGCAAATTGTCATTTCTGCCTTATCGATCTGCAAAAGCCAAAAATTTCTTCTTTCAACATGTTCGCCGGTCAAGCGCGCGAATTCAAACCTGCATTTTCTCTTTGCTGTAAACAAAAGACTTGTTTACAGCAAAGAGAAAATGAAATGGCACCAAAATTGGTGTGTAGGTGGACAACAGGGAGTTAGGACTATGCGCAAAAAATTATGAAAAAATTATGTGAACTGAAGGCGTGGCAAACTTTTTTCGGAGTTAGGTGGCTTTTCAGCCGCCTGGACAGCCACCTGAGGCTCCCGCCAGAGTGCCGAAGTTATGCCAGCGCTACGCCAGCATTTCGATCGATACACATGTATTTCGTTGGGGCGGGGCTAGCTCAGCAGGTAGATGTCCCCAACGAAATACACGTGTATCGATCGAAATGCTGGCGTAGCGCTGGCATAACTTCGGCACTCTGGCGGGAGCCTGAGGTAGCTGTGAAAAGAAAAGGTCATATATTTTCCTTCTTTCACATAATTTTCTCACATCTTTAACATAACCTTGTTCTACATCAAAAACCCCACAACTGAATTTTTGAATCTCTCTAAACCCCCTCTTCCTCGCCTAGTTACAGCCCTCCAAATATTTTGTATGGCGGCGGCAAGCCTGCTACAAACGCGCAAGGGTGCGCGCCGGATACAGCATGTCGCCATTTGAGCATACGAACGTCTTCTTTTTTTCGTCTATTCGATGTTTAATGTTTTGTTCCATTATTTTTCGTTATTCGTTTTTATCCATTCATGGTCGCGCATAGTTGATGTCGTATTTTTGTGCCGAAATCTACAGGGACTTCGTTTTAGAAAAATTGAAAAAGCCAACTCATGCCGAGCCCTGATTAGCTGGGCATAGCTCATGCATTTCGTCGCGACGCGACTTGCTAGGTTGGAGAAGTGTTCCACGCCGCGCTGTTAAGCGTTGGACCTCGACGCATTTGAGATGGCTGTTCGGAGCGACGAATCGCTACGCAACTTTCGACGTGCATAGCTCAGTTGGCGAAGTCGTCGCGATATTGCCTTTTGCGCGATGTCACCGTCGTCCATTTGCGGCAAGCGACGAAGCAACCGCTGCGCCGATCCCGAATGGCATTTTTGAGTTTTATCATGTGCTACTGTTGCTGACGAGTTATGACTCCTTCTTTCGTCAGCTGTAGAGAGTGCAGAAAATTCACTCAAGCTTTTTTTTGTGTCATCAAGCACAAGTGCACATAAAACGTTTGCATTCTACAAAAACTCTCAATGGCGCTTTGTTAAAATGATAGCTTTCTCTGGCGTTCAGAATCTGTACTCATTGCCGCTTGTGGAAAGATTAAGCCTTGAAGTTCTCATTTTCTTTCAAGCTAGTGATAAGCAATGTTTGGGTCTCAAGGTCATTCCTCAAACCTTTAGCTATGCAGATAACAAAACAAGCTCCTCCATCAAAATCTACACGACACAATCTTTATTTAATTTCGAGCAGACGTTCTGTTGAAACTTGAAAGAAGTGAAGAAACAAAATCACATAATCTCGAAACCCAACCAGGCTCACTTATAAACTTCGGTCATTTTTTATGTTTTCCTCTACAGTAGCATATCTAAGAAAACTGTGTCACATGATTTCATAAGAAAATGTAGCGGATAGGTTTGTCGAAACTTCTTAGAATTGGCTATTGAACTATGTAAATTAGGACGTACGGTCGTCAGTTTGTTGGTTCTCTGCATCTTATGTGTAAGAGGGTTATTAATGGTATTTTCGACGTGTGGCGACGACTTCGTTGCTCGAGGTATGCCAGGGCCTTGGCAGCGTACACCCAGAATCTATGCTACCCAGTTCTCTATATGGTGTATATGTAAGGCCTAGAAGAAGGTTAACTGCGTTGGTCCAGTCTTACAATATTGTTTCTAAGGATAGAAAACGCGCCTGATTATTTGCGTGTGCCCTTTTTTGTGGTTCGCCTCGTTCGGACGGATCCACGCAGCGTAAGCTGTAAGCTGATGTCATGCAGTTGCAGGTGCTCCTCGCTAACGTGCCGACGGGGTCGAGCAATTCGAATCTCGTCCGCCCTCTGAAGAGAGAGTCCTCAGGAATCGGTTTTTGGGGGGGGGGTTGGAGAATTCGAATTTCATAACTGTGATCAGGGTCACGGAAAAGTTCTAGGATGACAAGAACATGGGAGGCGAAATTTTGGATGTACGCTCTCTTTAGGCTGAACGGACGTGGGTTGATGTTGCCTCCTGTTGCAGTATTTATCAATGGACCTTGAGGTCAAAATCTACCCTGTTCCAGGTGTATAAGCCGCGGGGTGGTCCTAGATTACATCGACCAGCCCGAACACATCAAAGGACCTCGCAACCAAAGGACCCCACATCGTACTGTGTATTGCCTGAAAGAATCTTGCAGCATAAGGATCTCGAAACACAATGAAGCGGCTGAGCAGGTCGTGGGAAATTTTGAAAAAATGCGGCTTATACACCTGAAAATGGGGTACCTTAAGAGCATCTCAAGATAAATTTGCTACTCACAAATCTAAATTCTACCTGGTAGTCAGCGGGATGCTCAACGCTTAATCAGGACATGCCATGACTGGTTAGTGGTGTATAGTCCTTCGCTGTTAGTGATTTTTTTGACTGTCAACAATACAATCCTACATCTTGTGGGTCTACATTACCATGTTTTGGCAGGAAAGTTTTCTAAGAAACTAAGCAAGCATACTTCAGCATGGTTAAGCGGGCAACCGAATTTTATTAGGTACCGAGAGTAGGCTTCATGGCTATCAAAATTAAATAGTCAAATATGAGTCGCAAATTAAATTATGCCCCTGCGCGCGAAAGATTGTGTTTGACTATGGGACTTGAATAAATCTGCATCAAAACTGCGCTATAGTATTTGTATTGGTGTTTGTAGTTCATTGTTTGAATTGATAATTTTCGCGTCAACTGCAAGACAATGCCTCCTAACCACAAAATCAAGCTTTAATGAAAAACAGTTTCGATCCATACATACATGCATACATATATTTATCCTCAGCGGTTATATACAATGAATACCACGATGATTCCGTTCATGGCTCAAGTTCGGCATCTTCGATTCCGATCGTCTTCGATGACAAGAACCCATTCTTGCTTGTGCCAACCAGCACATTCTCTTGACGTCGCGATTGATCCATAACATCTCGACCAAATAGACGCTTCGCATCAGCCCTGATTTCTTCCACATTGGCTTCTAAATCCTATCCTTGGGATGGTATAGGCCAGATCTAAGAGCCAGTCGAGTGGGAAGGATGAGAAGAAAAGTGTTTGATCCATATACCTTTACTACACCACTTGCAGCAATGATGAAAAAAATTCTCTGACCAGGAGCAAGCCGCCTTTGATAGCTATTCCAAGATATTGTTTGCCTCCATAGAGATCGTCAAAGATTCTCAAGGCTAAAGATACTGCGTTAAAGCGTGTAATTTATCAGGATTCTTCTCTAAGGTATGGGGCTTATCAAATTGAGTGTCGTTTGCACCAGCATCTCCATCTTCGCGCTGGACTCTACGTCTTTTCCGCGGAGCTGCTCTCTAAGCACTTTCCTAGGGCGAGCATGGGAAAGGCGGAGCCTCAATCGATTGGAAGTGACTAGGGAACATGTGCCGCAGAAGAGACGCAGAGTCCAGCGCGAAGATGGAAATGCTGGTGCAAACGACACTCAATGTGATAAGCCCTATACAGGCTATTTCCTTCGAACGGAGAACCACTGAGCTAGCATGAGACACTTTCATCAGATTCTCAAAAAGAACTTCCTTGCTAATTTACCGCCTGGAGAAGTTTCTGCATGAATAAAAGAGTAATCAAGCTTTAAGTTTACATCATCACCAGCGCATTCCCTTCCTTAGGAGGATGATGCGCTGTTATGGTATGTCGCAGCTGCAAACTTCAACGCTGCAATATTTATGTATAAGCCAGTCAGTCACATCAGTCACATTGTCATTCGTCATCCACATTGTTTCTGTCAAATCGTATGAAATAGTTTGAAGCTGGCTTCACTGATGCTCCGTAATCAGCAATCACTTAAGCGTTACTGCGCCGCAAGCACAACATGTTCACAGTATCATCCAATCTTAGTAGCGCTGTACGAAGATATAAAAAACACATGCGCTATTTCATTATCTATTGTGCTGAGGACACATAGGTCTTTGACGCAGCGTTGTTCGAGGATTTAACTCAAGCTACTATGCTTGCATGTGCAGAATCCCAGTGATCTTGTAGTAGGTTTCTATAACGTCCCCCTATTTCGATATCTAAAAGGTCTTAGCTTCAATCTGCCAATATTCTTCGATCGTGTAAGTGTCTCATAGTACATATCATTGCAGCTAGAACTCAGAGTACCTAAAATTTTCCAGACTATTCTGGAAAATTTTTCTACATCTCAAAGCTCATTTTCTTGCAAACTAGCTGCAGAAAATATATAGGCGATTCATCGGAAGCAAAGAATGG